CCCCCGCTTCCCCGCGTCTGCTCCCGCCCTCCCTGCCCCCCCCCCCGGGGGGGAGCGGGCCCGCTCGGCGGGTCTGCTGGCTGCAGGTGGCCCGCAGGTGCCCGCCCGCAAAACTTCTTGCGATTGCCCCGGCCAGGAGAGGAGGCGACCAGAGGTCGCAAGCGTCCGCTCGTGCGATTTCCTGCGATCCCCCTGCCAGGAGAAGAGCCGCGGCGAGTCTCAACCGACCGAACTCCTCGCGAGGGCGCCCGCCGGCGCGACACGGAAGGGCGAGCGCGGACCCGCCGCCCGCCCCCCCCCCCCGTAGATATCCTTGCGATTCCCCGGGCCAGGAAGGGGGGCGAGGAGGGAGGGCGAGAACGAGACGAGGACGAGGGAGACGTGGAGGAGCTCCAGCACACGAGGCTCGCGCAGCCGTCTCGGCTCGCGCGCCCGCCAGCGCGCCGGCGCCCTCCGGCACATGAGGAGAAAGCTGCGCAGGGTGGGGCTGCGGTTCCCATCGCCCAAGCGGCCGCGCGCCGTCGTGCAGCGAGCCGCCGGGCCAGGGCGGCAGGCGCCGGCCGCTCCGGCTTCCGACGCACTCGTCGTTGCGGCCGCCGCGGAGCTTAGCTCGTCCGCCTGCGGCGCCGCGGGGCAGCCCGCGGGCTCGTCTGGCTCCGCTGGCCACGGTGGCAGCGGTGGCCCGCTTGGCCACCCGCGCGCTGCCTGTTCGGGCCCCCGCGGGGTGCAGTCTCTTGCAGCAGCAGCTGCCCCGCATGGTGCAGCAGCACTGTGGGACACGTATTGGGGCGTCCTCGACTCCATCACCCAAGCAACCGACCGGCGAAATTGGGACATGATGGTTGCTCTCAGCAGTGACAGGGGGTGTAGCCAGAAACACCCGGACGGGGCACCCCCGCGCGTGGTGTCGACAGCCATGGCTGAAGCCCGCGCGGCTGGCGCAAATCTTTGGGCCGTTGCGGACTCGGTGGTCCAAGAGCGGTTCCTGTGCAAAACGGTTCCGTCCACGCTGCGGACTTACGCATCGCATTTGCGTATGATTGCGTGGGCCGGCGAGTTGTTAGGTGAACCCCCGTTGGGGTGCTCCGTGCAGCACGTCCCTAGGGTTGCTGCAATTTGTGCGTGTGCTTCCACACAGCGTGGGTGGTTGAGCGCGTGGGCCCTGGCGCATCAGGTCGCCGGCGTTCCCTGGCAAGGCGATCAAGACGTCATCTTGCGCGGCGTTCGTTTGGGCACAGCCAAATGCCGGGCGCCCCGGCTACCCAGGCAACGGGTTGACCGGCTGCTGCTGCGGCGGTTGCTCCGCATCGCGCTGTCGCGTCAGCGCAGGTGGTGGTGCGTTATTGCAGCGCTTGCATACAATTTTCTGTTGCGGATGCCATCCGAGCTGTTTGCGCAGTGCGCGCGCGCTCGCGTGCAGGTGCAGGGCGGTCGGTTCGTGTGCGGGCCGATCCGCCGGAAGCAGAGGATCGACTTGTGCACCGTTTTCGCCTTTTGTACGTGCGGGGTGGATGAAGGCATCTGCCTTCGCACGTGGTTACCCGTTTGGGATGAGCTCCTCGGGGTCGGGGACCGCCCGCTCGGCGGATGCGCTCCCGAGTCCTGGGCGGCAGAGCTCCGGTGCCATTTGCGGGCGGTCGGGGTCGCTAACTCCGAGGCGTGGTTTGGGCGCGACGTCCGGCGGGGCGCTGCCGCAGACGTTTTTGCTGCGTCGGGCGTGGAAGCCATGCTCGCACGGGGTGGTTGGCGATCGGTGGCATCAGCCCGGCCGCGCGTGTCGGGCGACGAGGTGGCCGCCGGCCTGCTGGCGCAGGGCGTCGTCGATGACTCCGGCCCCGAGAATTAGGCGCCGCAGTGCCCCGTTCCCTTGCCGCTCCCCTCTTTTCCGTCATTGGCATTGGGGCCGGGAGCGGCCTCGGAACCTTGGTGCTTGAGCCAATGAAAAAAGGAGGGAAGGGAGCGGGAGCCAACTCGGATTCACAAGGGCGAAGCAAAGTTAGACTCCCCGCGTCCCCACCCTCGCATCTTAGCCGCGCGCGCGCCGCTTGCCTGCTGCCGTTTTGGGCTCAAGGGTGGGGCCGCTTGCCCCGCCCGCCCACCTTGGTTTTTCACTTGATTGTTGCGGCGCCGCTGCGCCTCCTGCACTAGCTGTCTGCCGCTTCAGCCCCGCGCTGGGGGCCGGGAGCGGCCTCGGAACCTTGGTGCTTGAGCCGATGAAAAAAGGAGGGAAGGGAGCGGGAGCCAACAGGCCTGGGAGGAACATCGTGTAAAACAGGCCTGGGAGGACCATCGTTCGGAACAGGCCTGGGATGACCATTGTTTCAACCAGGCCTGGGAGGACCATTGTTTCAACCAGGCCCGGGAGGCCCATCGTTCGAGACAGGCCTGGGAGGACCATCGTTTGGAACAGGCCTGGGAGGACCACCGTGAACCCGCATAGTAAGGATGAACAAGTTGTCCATGGGTACCCTTGCATCCTTAAGTTGTGCCTTGCGTCCTGAAGTTTGCAATTCCTGAAAACGCCAACTTGGCCTCCCCCGAAAGCCTGCCCCCCCTTCGCCAATCACCTCCCTCCCCGTCGGGCGGGGCTACGATCGGGAAGTGTGGTTCAGCGTGCCGTTCCGCTGGTTGTAGCTCACCGCGTTTCAGCGCGGCACGCTATTTTGCTCGCGGTCCCGAGGTGTTCACGTGCCGAAGTTTCTAGAATTCCCCATCCCGCGGAGCGGAGCGACACGATATCCACTTGCAAGGCATAGCGCGTCGCCACAGTTGCCGCCGCGACACGCCAAGCACAAGTTCCCGACCGTAGGACCGGGACACATTGTTCTAGAGCACCCTGGAACACCCTCAGTGCTTGAGCGTTCCAGATCGCTCCAGGACGGCCGCGGCGTCCGATGCATCCTCCAAAACCGGATCTCATGGTGATCCCCGATATGTCCTGGTCCGATGTTGTCCTGGTCGTGGCTTCGTCTTGTCCCACCTTTCTCCTCCCCCTCCGCTCCAACTCCTGCTGCTGCTATTCGTCTTCGTCCTCCTCCTTTCTCATCCTCCTCATTTTACTCCCGCCCGCCCACCACATCCGTTTCATCCTCTTCGTCCGCCCACCCACCTCCGTCCTCATTCCTCATCCTCCTCGTCCTCGTCCTCGTCCTCCTCCCTCCTCCCTCCTCATCCTCCTTGCGCCGCCGCCCGCCCTCCCGCGCCAGGCGTTGAAGCCACTCAAAGAAACAGCCGGCTGCCCCCTCTCGCTCGGGGCCGCCATCCATAGGGGAACACACAATGACATAAACTTAACTCGGATGTCCGCGGCGATCTCTTGGATCGGCGTTGGACCCTCCTGTCCTTGCGCGCAAAGCGCGCTAGGGGCGGCGCTGGAGGCGCCGCCAGGGGTTCCCAACGCAGATCCAGAACTCCGCGCGGACCCCCGAGAGCTCATGCCTATGTCAAGTCTTGCTCCCCGGGTCCACCCGCAACCCGGAGGGCCGCCATGGCCTCCGCGCGTGCCTCCGTGCTCGCGCTCGCCGCCCTGCTCGGGGCGGCGGGCGCCGCGCCCGCCGGCGGGGAGGGCGGCACACCGCGCCGAGGGGTGCTCAGGCCGCCCGGCGCAAAGGGGACAGAACATGGGAGCCTGGTCTGCCCTCAAGGCTCCATCTTGAAAGGGTGCACTGGCGTGCGCTTGCGTGTGTCAATCGGTGAGAGAACGCAGGCTCAGCGTCGATTTAGCGTCGATTTAGCGTCGACTAGCGTCGATCCGAACGGATCAGGACGATGGCATGGGTGGCGCCCATGAGTTGCCACAGAAGGACGAAGAAAAACGCGTGGGGCGCTCCGGAAACGGCAGCGCACTTGAGGATCGAAGGAATTGTCGTCTCCTCCCCGGCGGAAGGTCGGCGGAGGTTGGCGGAAGTAAAACGGGGGCGGCTCCGCCAGCGGCGGCCTCCGGAAGGCCCGCAGAAGCCGGCGGAAGTAAAGATCGTCCTCCTAAGGGATGGCAGTGTCTGTTCGGGTTTCCAGAGCCCGCCACATGCCTCCAACGCGGAGAAGGAAGTTCGTTGAGGGCGTGGCGACTTCTGCCGTCCCTGGACTCGCGCTGGAGCGTCCGTGACGGTTTGCTCCAGATTTCCTTTTGGTGATCTCTGGATTTACCATAATTTATCTGGGTGAATCTGGATTTACGTATCTGGATTCTCTTCGGTTCGCCATGCTTCATCCCCGCAAGTCGACTGGAGAAAATATGTTAACCCCTCTGAGAAAAGATACAAGTACCGCAACTCGTCATGGAGAGCCCTCGTCGCCGAAATTATGGTTAGAACGTACCCTGGTAGAGGTCGTGGGAGTGGTGGTAGTTGTACCCTCCAACGTATGGAACAAAATCAGGACGGCTGATCTTCCCCATTTTTTGCCTCCGGGGGCCGTCGCCAGCCCCCAGGACCATCAGAGACCTGTTCAGGGTGGAAAGCTGGCCAGGTGGAGGGGGCCCGACTTCCTGGGTCAGGCATCGGTTCTCTGGACCCAGACGCCCTCGCGTTGTGGAATAACACCGCCCAGGGAGTCGACCCCTTCCCGGGGAATCGCTTGCCGAGCAGCTTCTGTTGACCGAGCCGGGGCCCTGTGACCCCCAGAGGCCAGACATTGCCAAACATGTTCCGCCGTGGTTTTGTCACGACGCAGGGGGGCCTGGGTCAGGGTGTCAGACTCGTTGCTCAGATCTGTTTTCGGGCGCGTTCCAGCCAGGATTCCGAAGCCACTCCAGCCGTGGCGACAAGAACGCCATAGAAGGCCCAGAAAGGTGAAGGGCGTCCAATAATCTCGCGGTTCGAACATCGAATCTCGAAGATCGAATTCTCACCCGGGGTCGAAAACATCTAATCATCCCCGGACCGTTCCTGGGGTGCGTTCGGGCCAGAATTTCGAGGGAGATGTGCACCCGTGGTCACGAGGAGGCCCCAACTGGTTACAAATAACGGTCAAGCACCACGGTGGAGGAGGGAGCGACGAGCCAGGTCGCACAACATCCCGCAGCCAGCCCGGCCAGCCGCGCCCACCACCCTGGCGGCGATCGGGTTGTCGCTTGAGGCGCTAGGAGCGTCGCTCGGTGCGCCAGGTCTGGACGCGCGGCGCCAGGAGGGGGCCGCAGGCCAGAGGCCCGAGGAGCTCGGCAGCATCATCATCATCATCATCATCATCATCATCATCATCATCATCATCATCATCATCATCATCATCATCATCATCATCGTCATCGTCATCGTCATCGTCATCATCATCATCAGCAGCACTATCGTCATCATCATCAACATCGTCATTACCAGCAGCATCAGCAGCAGCATTATCATACTTAGCAGCAGCATCAGCATCAGTATAACCATCATTATATTCATCATCAGCAGCAGCATTCGCATCAGCATAAATGTCACACCATTCATACTCATCGTCAGCAGCAGCATCATACTCATCAGCAGCAGCAGCATCCTAATCGCCAACCTTCATCATCATCAGCAGCAACATCAGCATCATCACCAGCAGCAGCAGCATCACCATCACCATCTTCCTCATCAGCAATAGCATCAGCATCAACAGCACCATAATCATCACTCATCATCATCATCATCAGCAGCAGCAGCAGCAGCGTCATCATCGTCATCAGCAGCAGCATCGGCATCATCATCAGCAGCACCGTGATTTCCATCATCAGCAGCATCAGAAGCAGCATCCGCATCACCATCAGCAGCAGCATCTTCATCCGCATCATCAACAGCCGCATCACCATCATCAGCAGCAGCATTAGCACTGACATCACAAACTTCTTCATCCCCATCATCAGCAGCCTCATCATCAGCATCCGCATCAGCATCATCGTCTCATCATCAAAACCATAATCAGCAGCGACAGCAGCGTCAGCATCATCGTCAGCATCACCAGGATCACCATCAGCATGATCATCATCAACAGCATTATCATGATCAGCATCCGCATCACCATCATCATCATCACCACCACCACCATCAGCATCAGCATCAGCATTCACAACATCATCATCAAGAACATTAACAGCAGCAGCAGTACCTGTAGCCACTCTCACATTATGCGGCGGCTCACGATGCACCAGCCGACAGTGGAGCATTTCATCGTCGAGTCGCCGACTGCTCTAGCCACCAGGTCCCCAAGGACTCCTAGAGGGCGCTGGGTCCCCAATGAGCACCCGACCTTAAACAAAAACTAGAAGCAGCAGCAGTACCTTCATCAGCATCAGCATCTGCGTCCTCAGCGGCAGCAGCAGCATCAGCGTTGGCGCCACGGTCTTCATCGTCACCATCATCATTTGCAGCAGCGTCGGTACCTCCATCACCATCTTCAGTCTCATCTTCATCATCATCAGCAGCATCAGCATAAGCATCACCATTGTCAACAGCAGCAGCCTGATGAGCATCACCATCAGCATAATCTGCATCATATCAACATCTCCATCACCATCTTCATCCTCCTCCTTATCCATATTACTTGCAGCGTTAACATCGCCATCACCATCACCATCATCATCCGCAACCGCAGCAAGATAAGCATCACCATCATCATCATCATCATCATCCTCTTCCTGATCATCATCATCATCATCATCATCATCCTCTTCCTGATCATCATCATCATCATCATCATCAGCATCAGCATCAGCATCATCAGCAGCATCATCATCAGCATCATCAGCATCATCACCTTCAGCATCACCATCACCATCACCATCACCATCAGCACCACCGTCTTCATCGTTATCATCAGCAGCATCATTGTAAGGTCATCATCCTCGTCCTAACCCTCTCCTCCTCCTCCCTCTGTCCTCATCCTCTCCCTCCTCACCGTTTCCTCCTCCACTTCTCCCCCTCTTCTCCCCTTGGCTGCGGCAGAGGCTGGAGCCACTTTTCCTGCACCTCTGACGTTCAATGCGTGCGTCTCCTGTCCACCACCAGACTGTTGGTTGGCGTTGTCAGTCGCTGCCTCGCTCGTCGGTCCTCCCTCTCCCCTTCCTTCCTTCCCCCCACCCTCCCTTTCTCCCCTGGCTCTCCTCTCTCTCTCTCTCTCGCTCCCTCTCTGCTTTTATCTCCTGGCAGCGCTGTGCTGCGCACTTCGGAGGCCAATCGTGCCACGCCGCGGCCCCCAGACCGCCACGTGAGAATCCCCCGTCCTCCACTCTTGATGGCCCCAGGTACCGAAAACCGCCCCCGAGCGCAGAAATCCAGGAAACAAATCTGGCGTGCAAAACAAATCGTCGGAGATCTGAAAAAGTTGCGGTGCCAGCAGGAGCTGATGGAAAACTTCGCACTCAGCAGAGACGAGGTGGACCAGGCCGCCGAGGAGCACCTCGCGGAGGCCCGCGCCGAGGTGATGGAGCCGGCCGCGGAGGGGGCGACCCGCGTGCTGATCGCGGGCGCGGTCAGTCTGGGCCCGCAGGGCGAGGAGTTTTAAGGATCAGGAGGAGGAGGAGGAGGAGGAGGAGGAGGAGGAGGAGGTAGAAGCACCAGTCCGCTGCTGCAGAGATCAGTCTCAGCCGTAACGATGGCCTGTAGCTCACGCTATCGTCTGCTAGTATGCCCAACCTCAGAAAACAGGTGATATGACGAATCGATGTTCCGAACATGTATAAAGATCAGGAACGATTTCGGCTCCCGCTATATGCAGCTGTATTCATCTATTCATACGCGGCCAAGTCAGCCAGAGCTCTGGCGATGGCTTGTGGTTCGCGTTGCCTTCTGCAACCCTATTCGACACTAGAACAAAGAGTTTGTTCGATTGGTCGTATTCGAATGCTCCTAGATATTAGGAACGATTTGGGCTCCCGCCTGCATGTTATCTGATTCATTTGTATTTAGCTGCTCAACAATCAACTAGGAGGAGGAGGAGGAGGAGGAGGAGGAGGAGGAGGAGGAGGAGGAGGAGGAGGAGGAGGAGGCGGCGGAGGTCCCCAGCGATGAAAGGGGCGTCTGGTAACCAAACGCTTCTCAGCTGAAAGAATGGATATCTGGCCCCCGCAAAGGGGGAACCAGCGACGCGGCAGCCTCATGACTACGCAGCATAACCGAAGTCCAAGAAGACGACGGAGTGCGCGAGCCTCACGATCGAGTCGCACGGTGTGCGCGAGCCTCCCCCGCCATCTTGAGCAGCACGAGCAGATGCTTCTCGTCCGAGGCGAGGATGGTGCAGATCGGCTCGTTCGCGGACGGGTTCGACGAGAGGGCCAGCATTTCCGCGGGCACGGCCGCGAGGCTGCCAGGCACCGCGGGCGGCGGGGCCCCACCAGGAGCGGCAGCAGTGGCAGCAAACCCCGGGGCGGACGCGCAGGCCCTCAGCCACAGGGTCAAGGCCTTCCGCCTCGCGTTGAAGGACCACTGGGAGCTTTCGGACATCCTCGGGGCGTTCGACCGTTCCTTCGGCAGCACCCCTGCGGCGGCGCGCACGGTCGTGCCCCTGGCGGAGTTGTGCTACTACGAGGAGGCCCACGCCCATTGCAATTGGGCGAAGCACTCGCCTCCTCCCGACGCAGCAGGGCCACTGCCGCCCGTTCCAGTTGGCGCGGTGGTGGCTGCCGCCTTAGAGCTGCTGGCAGCGATGGCCCACGGCGTTTGCACACAGCTTCGTGCTGACGCCCCAGACTTTGCCCCCGCGGCGACGGCATACTTGAACGAGCAGGATCATTCGACGCTCATGGATGGACATATCAAGCAGCAGGAGGTGGAATGTGCCGCCGACCCAGGCCAGCGCGTTCCGCCTCAAGTCTGTCCAGATGAGCCTTCTTATTGTGCAGTTGAGCCTCATCTTGATGGGGATGGAGAGCTTGATTGTTGTGTCACACAGCCGTCTGAAGGTGAACGTCATGTCGTTCACGGTGCATCCTGGTGGGCTGCGCGCCTGGTGGTTGCCCGTACGTACCCGGCTCCACCCAGCTCCTGACCAAGGATTTTTTCAGGAACCTGTTCGTGAACGTGTACAGGGTGCCGACCGTGTGGGTCCCGTTCTTGATGAGCCTGGCCCTCACGAGGGTGCAATTACTTTCCAGCCTTTTCATATGCTTCTTCCTGAAGCTGATCGTGGCAAACCTCCTGATAGCGTTCGTGCCGACCCTCCCTTCAGGTTCGCACCGAACTCGCATCGACCACCTGATCGCCACGCTGAGGTGGATTCACGGCCTACTTCCTCCATGGAAATGGGGGGGGGCCGTAGCAAGCGGTAGCTCTTTCTTGTAGGCGTGGGTGGTGGGTGGCGGGGGTGGAGGTTGATGATGATGAAAACCGTCAGTAAGAGATGGTACCAGCAGCGTGCTCTGCCGCCTGCTTGCCCTTCCGACTGTGGCCTTTCGTGGTTTCGGTCCTTGTTTTTCGGTCGGTCCCTTTGGTCGGCTCCGTCCTGGGTCCTGGGTCTCGTCCCTCGTCCCTTTCGGTCCCGTTCGGGCCCCCCCGTCGCTCGTCGGCGTCTGTAAAAGGGAGCTGAGGCTAGCCGTCAGCCCGCGTCTAAATAAAATCCACCAGATGCGCAGGGCGATTCCCGTCCGCCCAGTCGTCGCCGAGGCTCGCGAGGGAACCGCCGCCGTCGTCCACGAGGGCCCGCGCGAGACCGACAAGTGCCAATGGCGAGCCAGCCTGCTCCGCCGCCGTGTCCGCCGCCGCCGCCTCGCCGCGTTTCCCGCGCCTGCCAGCCAGCCGGTGGCGACGCCTACGGCGGTGCTCCCACTGGGCCTGCGAGGAGGCGCGAGAGCGAGAGGCAGCCGCAGGCCCACCAGGTTCGCCGTCGTCGCCGCAGCACACCCCAGCGCCAACAGCGGTCGCCACCGAAGGCGGAGGGCCCGCCACAGCCGAAGCCGCCGCCGCCACGGCCGCGCGCGTGACAGCGCCCAGCGTGCGCGGAGGCGTTCCAGCGCCCTGCGCCGCCCGCGCCGCCGCGCCCACGAGGACGGCGGCGCCGGCAGCAGAGATAGCACCTTTAGGCGCCGACATCGCAGCCCTCGAAATTGACAGCCGTGCGATCGCCTGAGCCAAAATGAAGGAGGAGGCTGAGGAGGAGGAGGAGGAGGAGGAGGAGGAGGAGGAGGAGGAGGAGGAGGAGAGGGAGGAGGAGGAAAAGGAGGTGGAGGAGGAGAAGGAAGCAGGAGGATGAAGAGAGTAGCAGTATAATGACGACGGGGAGGAAGAGGCGGAAGAGGAGGAGGACCAGTGTAAACCCAAGAGCCATCAACGATGTTGGAATGTACCCTCCCTCCACGCTCCCTCTTTGTCGGCCCCTTACAACGGTTCATTTCCATTGAGGAAACTGCCTCGTTGGAAAACAACCCGTTGAAGATCCGGAAGCGTACCAAAACATTGCTTTCGGAATTTCAACGCCACGTATCCACCTGACTGCTGCGTGCTGAAGATCCGGAATCGTGCCAGAACGCGGTTTTTTTTTTTTTTTGATTTCAACACCGCGAATCAACATAACGATTGCGCTCGCATAGTCATGAATCCTTCCAACATATTCTTTCTGGCACGCTGATCATGGGAATCCGTGAACCTCTTGCAAATGATTAAAACGAGTGTACGCGGCGCTGCGGCGAGAGCCACATTCTGAAAATGAGCCGACCTCAATCCGTGAAGCTCTTGCAAGTGCTTAAAACGAACATGCGCGGCGCTAGGGCGAGAGCCACATTTTGAAAAGGTACAGCCCTCAATGTGCGAAACTCTTGCAAACGTTTAAAGTGAATGTGCGCGGCGCTAAGACGAGAACCATATTTTGAAAAGGTACCGCCTTCAATGTGCGAAACTCTTGCAAACGTTAAAAAAGGAATGCGCGCGGCGCTAAGGCGAGAGCCACATTTTGAAAACGACCCGCCCTCAATCCGTGAAATTCTTGCATATGTTTAAAACACCACATTTTGAAAACGACCCGTCCTCAACCAGTGCAACTCTTGCAAATGTGCAAAAGCGAATGCGCGCGGCGCTAAGGCGAGTGCCACATTTTGAAAGCGACCCGCCCTCCATCTGTGAAGCTGTTACCATTGTTAAGTTTCAGAGTCAGAAGCGGTGAGGAAGTTTCAGGCGAAACGCCCGGCCCGCCCAGAAATTTGCTTCGGTGTGCGACAGGAAGAAATTATGTATAACGAGAAAGAATGGAGGAAGACGATGATGAGGAGAGTAACGATAGAATGACGAGGAGGAGGAGCAGGAGGAGGAAGAGGAGGAGGAGGAGCAACGACGACAGGCACAGAAGGAGGAGACAGCCCAGGCCCTGGGGACGAGGTCCTCATCACGGGGCCTGGCGGCAGTCCACAGGACAAGGTGGTCGTCGGCTCCGTCCAGGCCTCGAGGGGCGAAAGGGCGATGACTCCTCCCTCCTCCCTCTCCCTCCTCCTTCTCCTTCTCCTCCTCCTTTTCCTCCTTCTCCTCCTCCTCCTCCACCTCCTCCTCCTCCTCCTCCTCCTCCTCTTCCTCCTCCTCCTCCTTTTCCTCCTCGCGGCCGCCCGGTCGGCTTCGGCACGCCGCCGCTGCAGGCCCCCAGCCGCCAGCTCGGCTCGGCTAGGCTGAAGCCCATGCAGGGGCTCAGGGGCTGGCGTCAGCTGCCGCTGGGTCATCTGCCGCCCCCAGCCCACGCGCACGGGAGATCCCCTACGTGGCCGGCAGCCACTTCGATGGCGCCCCGCGCCCAGCCGATCGCAGAAGCGGCGCCGTCGGAGGCGTCCCCGCGTTGGCCCGTGCGCCGACGGGGCGGGCCCCCGCGGGTTCAGCAACGCGGAGTCGTTGCAGGCCGACATTGCATTCGCGACGTCACGCAGAACGAGGCGACAAGGACCGCGTCAACAGGGGCCCGCAGAATGAGTTCAAGGTGCTGGCCGCTAGAAGCTGCAACAAGTTCAACGCCCGAGTCTGCGCGGACGACCGTGGGAAGGCACTCGCCAAGGCGCTCGTCAAGACAGCTGAGTGCTCCAGCGCGCTGCTGCTGCACCGCCAGTGGCCGACCCCGCTGGACTACCGCAAGGCCTACGGCATCGGCGCTGGCCGTTGCAGGGCGAGCGCACCTTGCAGGGGGCTCCGCCGCGCTGCCTCGCCGCCGCGGATTGGCCGACTGTTTCGGAGGAGCGCGGTGGGGACTTCACTCTGCCGTCCGAGCGCAAGTTGGGGGCGCGCCCGCAGGTGCCCGCCCAGTACCTCGAGCGGCAGCGGCCATGGCGAAGGCGCTGGAGGACCTGCGTAGTCCGCGCGAGGCCGCGAGGACAATCCCCCCAAATGCGCGCTCCACTTCTGCCGGGGCGCTCGGGAGGAGCTCCGCTGGAGGCGGCGTGGGGGGGGGGGGGTCGCCCGGGGCGCGCGCGAGAGGCGCGCCGAGTGCTCAACAAGGATCGGGCGCGCAAGGAGGACTCCATCTTCGCGGCCCTGACCCCGCCCGGACGACTGGGCACGCCTGCGGCTTCCCGGCGCCTTCGACCGCCAGGGCCCGCGGGGCTGCTTCAGGGCGATCGCCGAGCGCCGCCTGGAGAAGAAGGCGCGCTGCGCCTACTGGGGGCAGGCGCACAATGTGGAGCTGCGCCCGCCGAAGGCAGGGGGGCCCCATGACTCCTCGGGCGCCGGACCGCCGCCGCCCACTGGCGGGCGGGGCGCGGGGGGGGGGGGCGGGGGGCGGGGGCCCGAGCTGGCGGCCGCGGCGCAGGGAAGGGCATGGCCTCCCACCCGTTTAGGCGGAGCCCGCGGGCACGCGGCAGCTCCCGCGCGGAGGCAGCGGCCTGTGCCCCGCAGGCCGCCCGCTCTCTCAGGACGAGCTGAAGCGCGCGAACGCCCGCGCGCCCGACGACGCCAACGGCCGCCCTGAGCGTTGGGGCGCTGCGCGCAGGAGTGGCCGCCGCAACAATGCCGGCGACGGCCCGCGGAGAGACTGGACTGGACGGCGCAGACCCCCCTGATCCGTCGCGGCGGCGTCCGCGCCGGGCCGCGGGTCGCCGCCGCCGCCGCCGCCAGGCAGCTGCCAGGATTGCGATTTCGCGAACCTCGACCGGGAGCTGCAGGAGCTGGTCCGAGTCCGAGGGCCCGACCTGAGCTGGCGCGACAGGATTGGCGAGCGCGAGCAGCGCCTGCGCGCGTACTTGAACGTCGCGGCCGCCCTCCCGCACGCACAGCGCGCGAGGCCGCCGCGTTCTTGAGTTCCGCCCTCGATCGTCAACCCCGCCAAGAGCGACCCGCGCGTCTCCGCGCGCTATCTGCATTGCTCGCGCCACGATAAGGAGTTCAGGGGACTTGCCGCTTCCCCCCCGCTCGACCTGGAGACGACCGCCCTCCGCGTCGCGCGGGTAGGCGCTCGTGACGGACCGCGCTTGGAGATCGTCACCGGGCGGCATTGCGACGGTCGCCCACCCAGCTGTTCGCGCGGCGGACCTCATCGCCGAGCTGAGCGCGGAGGCGCCCCCGACCGAGATCTTGGCGCGCGGCTGGGCAGCGCGTTTGGACCCCGCGCAGGGCGCCGCGCCGTGCGCCCCGGGAGACGCCGCCGAGCGGCGCCCGCGCTGCCCCGAAGCCCAGTCGCAGGAGGCCGACCGCAAGGCGGGGCACGCACCACGCGGCCCGCGCCGGCGTCCGCCGGCAGATTTGCCCCTGGCCGCCTGGGGGCCCTACGTCGCAGACTCAGCGGCCACCTACCTGGCGACGGGCCTGGGCGGGAGGTCTGTGCCGGCGCGGCGCGTCGGGCGCGGGCCGCGACCGAGAAGGGGGCGACGATGGGCGAGCCAGTCGAGCTGCGCGCGGACTCCGCGCACTGCGAGGAGCCCAGGGGCGAGCGCAACACCCGCCTCCCAGAGGGCCGCGCGGACCTCCTCAGCGACGCCCGCAGCGGGCGTCACGTGTGCTGGTGGCTAGGTTTTCCTCGCGCTGGATTCTTCTCCAGGAATATGGTCAACGGCGGCGCGCGCGCCAAGGGGAGGCCCGAGGGCTCGCAAGACGGCCCGGGCGGGGGGCAGGAGAGCACGCATCGCGGGACGTTCGCGGCGGAGCTCTTCATCGCAGCCGCTGGCCATGGCGCCCTGCCCGCGGCCGCTGCGCCGCGGCCTTCGATGCGCGTTGCTGGGGCCGGGTGCCAGCGCGACCCGGCGTCTTCATCGCGCTGCTGGACATGCGCCCGCGCGGGCTGGGCCCGCCACCCGGCGCCGCCCTGGAGGGCCCCCAGGTAGCGGCGGCCGCCGCGCCGCCCCCCAATTGCAGCGAGCGCACCTGGCTGGTCACCTGCGTGAAGGAGTTGATCCAAGCGGTTGCCCACTGCCCTGGGCGGAGCGACATCCGCTAGCGCGCCGTGCTGGGAAGGGCGCCCAAAGGGGGGCGGCGCGGGCAGCTGCCGCGCCGCGGGAAAATGCGCCGCCGCGCCCTGGTCAAGGCCGTGACCGCCGCCATGATCGACGCGGCGCTGGCGGGAGGGGTTCGTTCGGAGGGAAGGCCCCCCCCCGCCTCCAAAGAATCAGCCCGCTTCGCGGAGGCGGAAAAGGCGGGGGGGTGCACGTCCGAAGGGAGCGTCGGAGGCCCCCGACGAGCGTTGCGAGGGCTGCGGCGCCCCCGCATTTGCTGCCGCGCCTGCGCGGCTGGGCTGGCCTGCGAGGCGCGCGCTGAGGCGGGGAGCTGGGGGCGCCGGGGCCGCGGCGGCTATCTGCGCGGCGCGCGCCGCCCCGCTGGCCCTGGCAGAGCGACGTCCACCGGCGCGGCGGGCCGGGAGGGCGCCCGAAGGGGGGCGGCGCGGGCAGTTGCCGCGCCGCTGGGAAGTTCGCCGCCGCCCTAGTCCAGGCCGCGACCGCCGCCATGATCGACGCGGCGCTGGCGAGAGGGGCTCGTTTGGAGGCCGACAGGTGGTATGGCGGCGGGCTCGCTGCCCGGGGCTACCCGCGTTGATCGCCGAGCGGGACATTCGGGCGGCGTTCGAGCTGATCTGGTTCCAACGCGGCAATGCGCGTCTGTTCAGCACCTCGGGCCGGACGGGGGCGCGACGGTCATCGACCTGGCCCTGATGTTCGGTTTCGCGGGCGCGCCAGGCGAGTAGGTCGCGTGGGCGAGGGCGATCCAGCATTTCCACCAGAGCCGAGCTTCCCCTTTGGAGGCTTGGCACGACGCGGTCGCTTTCGCCGGCGAGTTCCCGATGGGCTGCGGAGTCTTCGTCGAGCCCGAGCTCGGTCTGAGGCCGTGGCTGAATGCCCGCGCCTTCGGCCAGGCCGTCGCGTAGCCACTGGGCCTGCGCGCGATCAACGTCAAGAAGCTGGGCGAGGAGGGCCGCTTCGTCGAGCGCCAGGCCGTCTGGGGGCTCGAGCAGGACTCGGCGCGCATGGCGCTGGGCATGCCAGAGCCCTGCATCCCGATGGCCGTCTATGCCCTCCGCCAGACGTGTTCGACCTTGGCTGCCGCCGCGCGCGCCCTTCAAGGTTCTCCAGCAGCTGGGGGGGATCGGGGCGCGCGTTGCAACCAGCGCTCCAGACGGAACTAGTGGTCGCCGACAAGCTGCCGGTTCAGGTCACGCCGGGCGCGCCGCGCGCCCGCCCACCGGGCCCCCCGTCGGAAAGTCGAGGCCGAGCGCCGCGACTTGCGGGACAGCGCGGAACTGACGCGGGCGCTGGTAGCCAGGCCAGAGGCCTGGGCGGCGTCATTCGCCGCGGCGCTGAGGGGTTTCTTCGCCCGGGCGAGCGCCCCGCCCACCGGGGCGCGGCCGAGCGAGCGGCATGGCTCGGAGGCGATGCCGCGACGGATCTCGCCGGCCAGGTCGAGCGGGGCGCGCGCTGCCATGTCGGGCAGGACTTCCGCGCCTCCCTGGGCGCGCTGCAAGCCGCGGCGGGGTCAGACGAATGCGTTCTGATCGTCGCCCTCGGGAGTTCTTCTGCGCGGTCAGCTTCGCCGCCCTGCGGGGCGAGAACTGGGGGCCGCCTCGCGATCTGCGCGGGGCAACCAGAGCGCCCGCAGCTGGATGCGCGCGCGACGCCCTCGCGGCCGCATGCCCCTGCACCTCGCGAGGCTGATCCAGTTGCTTCGACAGGGGGCTGGGCTTCCAGCTGCTTGCGCCGTGCATCAAGACCAAGCACAACGTCGCCAGCGACGTGATCTCCTCGGCCGACGACGAGGTGGAAGGCGGATGGCGGCCGTGGGCTTCGCGAGCCTGGACGCCCAGCCCGCGTGGGAGCGGTGGCTGGGCGCGCGCGGCGCGTCCGCGCCATCGCGATCGCGGACCGCGAGGACTGGCGGGGCGCGGCTCTGTCTTTTGAATCCTAGTCCCCTGCCCCTTGAGGCCCCATGTGGGCTCTCGACGCTGCGCGCGGCGTTGCGTTGCCATTGTCTATGGTGCAAGTCTCTAAAACCCCGGGAGGAGTGGGGAGGGGCGCGTTCTCTCTAGTATCTCCCCCGTCCCCCTGTGGCTTCCGCACGATCCCAATGTCCGCTCACATGGTAGCCGGAGCGCGATAGTTGAGCGGGCTGCCGAGGTGTGGGAGGAGCAGGGCGCAGAGAGCGCGGGGCCCCCCCGCCCCGAGAGGGTCGAAGAGACGACACCCAGAGCAGCGGCCGCAGCAGCAGCGGCGACGACAGACACAGCAGCATCACCATCGGCGAGCACCAGCGCGCAAGTCGCCGATCCCTGGCAGCACCAGGATCCATGGAGCCCAGCGACAGCGACAGACCACCACGCTCGGTGACAGAGCTGGGCCGATTGGGCAGGCTCATGGAAGCCCGACAGCGGCTGGTGGACTTCTGCACGGTGGATGACGGTCACACCGCCTGAGCTACCGCCAATGCCAACGACGCTGCTGCGACCGAGGCCAGGAGAACATATGGCGACGACAGCTCCAGCAGGAGCGGTGACGAGAGTGTTCAGCTGGCAGAAGGCCCGGGCAGACACCATCGCGACAGGGCCAACCAGTGGAGTTTGGCGCCCATCGGACACCCAAGGACCACAACCACAGTCCGGATTCGAGCGCTTGGACACCTACATCGTGGCGATTCGACGCTGGAGCAAGAGAAGAGGACTGCCCGCCGATGAATTAATTGGCTGGCAAGATCATCGACAGTCTACCGCCCGAGCTGCAAGAACGATTATTCCACCATCAGGAAGAGCTGGATAGTGAACGAAGCGTGAGCCGTCTTGTGCTCAAGCCATTGAGCATTGCAGGTGCAACGATTCAAAACGGCACTTTGTGCCTGCGAGTCACCAAGCTTCGGTTGAGGGCCGTTCCCTCGCGCTTCTTTCACATCATTCCGCCGCCATGGGGAAAGGCGGTAGGGGCAAGTCTGGTGCTGGAGATGTCGGCAAGCAAGGCAAAGGAGGCCTGCGTGTCCCGTCGGCTGCCGACCTCGAGAAGGAGCTCGCGCTGTACTCTGGTGGCTCTTCTGCTCCTCCCTTGGGCTGCGCGTGTTCCTGGACTCCGAGGGCCCGCCCCTCCAGCCCTTTGGACCTGCGGGTCCTGCGGCTGCAAGAAGAACGAGATGCGCCGGAGGCGCTGCAAGCACTGCGGCACCGAGTGGACCCCGTTCCAGCCATGCTCACCTCCCATGTTTGGGGCGCCTGGTGGAGTAAGGTCGAATGGTCTCGGTGGAAGTGCCAGCCCCTTCGCGTCCTCTGGTCCGCCTGGTTGCTTTGCGCTGGCCGACAGCGGAGGTGGCACGGGTGGTGCAGCTCCTGCGGCCCAAGCTCGCGCTCCCGCTAATGCTCTCTCCCGCGAAGAGCATGCGACGCTGGCGGAGCTGCTTGCCAAGTCGGGTGATGCGCTGGGTGCAGCGCGGCGCCGCGAGCCGGCCAAGCCCCCGCCCGCCGCGAAGGAGCCCGCGCTGCAGCACCAGGTGTCCAAGGCCCACAGCAAGCTTCGCGGCCTCGAACGCAAGCTTCAAGGTGCTGCACAGCGCTTCGAGGAGTGGTCGCTGCAGATGGTCGAGCAGAAGGGCTTGGTCACCAAGCTCACTGAGGAGGTGGAGGTGGCTGAGGCTGAGCACCGCCGCCTGGTCGCAGCCCTGCATGAGCAGACGATCCAGTCCCGCCAGAACGACGGCGAGGCCAAGTCAGTGCCTTGCTCCCTGGCTGCGGTCATGGACGGCACTTTCTCGCGGCAGCTGGACATCGACCCCTCGGAGCTGCTGGTTGGCATGGAGGACTTTGAGCTGTCCCAGGCTGACCAAGAGGAGCTCGAGGCGAGGGGCAAGCAGCTGCGTGATGGCATTCAAGAGCTGACTCAAAAGCTTCTCGCACAGGCCAAGGAGACGGCCAACAATATCAAGGAGGCGCATGAGGAGCACCTCGGGCGCCTTGCCAACCAAGAAGCGGAAGGTCGCCGAGCCTGAAGCTGCCGCTGCGCCTGGCGATGATGAGGAGGCTCAGGGTTCCAGCGCTCCTGGGCTCCCGCAGGAAGATCCTGCTGCTTGCTCGTCTAGGGGTGGAGACTCAGATGCAGGCGCCCCAGCAGCTCTTCGCGCCAGGGCAGCCTAGATGTTTCAAGATCAGTCTGAACAAGGCGCCCCCCCTGCCAGTGCTTGAGGATTGGCAGGGGGGCGCACGTTTCGGAGGCAGCGACGCACTACGAGGTCCCAGTCTTTCAGGACCACTTTTTTTGAGTCGTGGGCGTCTTCCGAGCTCATTTCCTTGCCTGGGGGGGGCCTTCTGGGAACGTATGGGAGCCCTGCCCCCCCCCCCCCCCCCTGGGCAGTCGCCACCTTTCGCTCGAAACTATTCGGGAACCCTGGTTTGTAGGACGCAACCTCCGCGGGAGGAATCCGCTTCCGAGGCTGAGTGCGTTGAGACGGCCAGTTCGGCCGCTCACTCGACCTCTGCGTGCAGTTTGAAATATGTTGCCTGTCGGCGTGCCCGCTGGACCCCATCCGAATCCCAGGCGGCCGTCAGTTTTTAAGAGGTCTCACTCTTCTCTCCGAGGTGCTGTGAAGCACGCGTTGTGGCGAGCCAAACGTGCGTTGGCGTCGAGCTTCACCTCGTTCTCTCGACTGGTGCACAGTGCTGCTTCTTGTAAGGCGCAAATTTGTGGTTTCGCCAGCCCCTGTGAAGAATATCCTGTGCTTGGGGACTTACAGCCGTGTTGTCCCGTCGGGTTCTCCAGCGGCCCTTCGGACCCCTGGTGTGTTCTGTTTCCTCGGGTGCTCTGGGGGCTCCTGGGGCCCCTGGCCCCGGCCCCTTGGAAAACGTGGAACTCTGCATCCACTCGGTCAATTGCATCCGCTGGTCGACCATGCAGGATCTCATGGCTCAGACTCCTGCTTGCATCATCATGTGCCAAGAGCATAGGGCACGCGGCGCTGAGGAGCTGGGGCGGGCGTCGGCTTGGTGCGCGCGCCAAGGGTGGAACAGCGTCTTTACCTCGGCCCTCGGCGCGGCCGCGGGCCCCTCGCCTCCTGGCACGCGCGCCCGCGTCAGAGATCACTTTGGCTTGCATGACCCCCAGGGGGGGGGGGGGGTGCTAAGGGCCGCGCCGCGGCGGCCATCGTTCACCTTCCTCGAGGGGGCGTTTCGTTGCGTGCTCTGCCTGCCCTCACCATTCGGAAGGCTTGTCTGAGAGGAACGTCGACCTCTTAGCTTGCATCGGTGAACGTATGTCTTCGCTCTCCCTGCCCTTTTGCATGGGGGGTGATTTCATCATGGGCCCTGGGGCTCTGGCCAGCTCGGGGATTGTCGAGGGGCTGATCGGTTTACAAGTGGCGGCGGACGGCCGCGCTCATTTCGGTGAGGCCCCCACCCCCCGTCGCCCCTGGACCACTGTGTGTGTGCGTTTTGCGTTGGTTTTTTTTTTCCTTGGGGGTGGGGGGCTTGGAACAACCAAGTAAGAGCTGCGAGGTCACCCAAGACACCGCGCTGAGCCCACACAAGCCTGCTCAGGTGGCCATCCATGCGTCTTTCGGGAGGTTCAATGGTTTTAGTTTGAGGAAGCCTCCTCCTCCTCTTCATGCCTCTGCTGTCCTTGGTCCTCGACCTTGTCCTCTTGATTGGTCCCGCGTTCGAGAGCTCGCTGACCAGGCCTCCCACTGCGTTGCTTCAGGTGACGCCAGGGGCGCGCCGTCGCTGCTCTCGCCTTGTTCCGCTGCCTGGGCTGACATGGCTGAGCTTGAACTCATTTCGATGTTAGGCCAGTCTGTTTCTGTCCTTGGTTCAAGGTCCAAGGCCCCCCAGCTGGTTTGGAAGAAGCCTGTTGGACGTGATCACGCTATTCGAGATCCTGAGCACCACGCAGCGCGGTGGCTCAGCGTCCAATATCGTGCCTTAGCTTTGCTCCTGGACTCGAACCAAGGCGAAGGCGCGCAGGTCGAGGCGTTGACGAAGTTGCTTCAGGAGCCCCCCGCGCGCATCCTGATTTCTGCTGCTCTCCAGCCTCTCTTCGCCGAGGTTGCGCGCATCGTGGCCCATCCTCGTTTATTTGTTCGGCGATTCGTTCAAGGGCGAGGATTTGTGTGCCAGACTTGACGAAGCTGCGAGCAATGCTGGCGCCGCTGCCAACTAGAGGGCGCGGCAGAGTTGGAAAGCCTGGATCACCGAATGTTTGGATGTGGAGGCTAAGCGTGTCCATTTGTGCACGAGGGACCCCACCCCCTGGCGGCCCGCGACGACCCTCTCGGCGGATGGAGCTGTTGTTTCCGACCCCCTCGCTCTTTTGGCTTAGGAAGGCTTCAAGTTTAGGGCATTTTGGGGCCAGGGCACTGGGGCACCCAGAGGCCCCCCGTCTCTGGCCCCCCCCCTTTTTCCGAGGGTCTCGGCCAAGGAAATGAGGGCCGTTTCTAAGCAATGCAAATGGGATCAGCTGTCGCCTACGATGGTTTCAATTGCAGGCACTATCAGTACTTGTGTGATGACGCGCTAGACGCGCTCGCCATGCTTTTTGAAGTTATGGAGGCGTTTGGGGAGTTGCCTGGGCAGATCTCGGCCGTCCTGCTTGCTCTTCTTTCGAAGCCCACCGGTGGCTGCAGGCCGATTGGGTTGTTCTGCTCCTGGTATGTGGGGGAGGCTTCGGCGCCCCCATGCCTTCACCTGGGAGTTAGAACACCCCGATCGGCACTGGGCTGCTGGCGGGAATCGGGGTGCTTCGGACGCTGTCTGGAGACAGTCGGTCCGCGCTGAGCACGGAACCGCTTCTAAAGGAGTGTCGTGCAGTGTTTTTCTATGACATGCTCAAATATTATGAAACGATCGACCTCGACATGCTTTTCGCTAAGTGTCAACGTCGCGGCCTCCCGCAGCCCAGTGCGCGCCTTTGCATATTTGCCTTCCGCTGCGGTCGGTTTCTGTCCTTGGGCGGCACCATTATGGGCCCCTTTTTTGTTGATGAAGGAGTGGTGGCTGATTATAGCATGGCCACCACCTTCATTCGGGTGCACGGACTTGACGCGTTTGACTCTATCCCGTTGCAACCTAGATGTGACCTGGACGTTTACATCGATGGTTATGGTTTTTCTGCTTCTGGCCCTCGTCACCGTGTTATATATGCGATTATTGCGAGTTCGCAGGCCCTAAATTCGGCGGTGACGGTGATGATGGGTTGCAGCGTCGCTCTGCCCAAGGTTTGCACGGTCTCCCCCTGCCGCTCGGTCGCCTTAGAAGTTGGCAAGCAGCTTGGTAGCCTGGCTGGAAGAGTAGAGGATGCCACAGTCAACTTAGCCGTGGACTAAGACGCTGGCAAGTCCATCAAGGCTGCTGGTAGGGCAAGCAAGCATAAGTCGAGACTGGCGGCCTTATGCCGCAGGGCCAAAAGGCTCAGGAAGCTTTAGGGGGTCCTGGGGCGAAACAACTTCAGCGTTTGTTATTAATTGTATGTTTTGTTCTTCGGCAGGCCCCCATGGCTGGAGGCTCTTACGGAGCTGAGATTGTTTGAGTTTCTGTCAACGACCTTTTATTGATGAGGAGGTAAGCTTTCTCTACTGTTCGGCCCTTTTCTCGGGGACGCAGCCTCACTGCGTGTTGTATTATTGCTGATGACCCCACCTGGAGGGCTGCCTGTGCGCCAGTCCTCAGGCGGGGCAAAGAGGCGTGGCTTGCCCAGACTAGAACCTCTGAGCATTCTCTTTCCCGCACAGAGTTGCGTGACTCTTGGGCTGCGGTCTGGGGCCAGGACAATCTCACTTGGGGTCTCGTCGGCGGTCCTATTTCCGCTCTTAGGCTTTGCCTGGTTAGGTTTGGCTGGCACTTGACTAACTACTTGACCATCATCGATGATCGTGGCTCCCTTATTCCTCTGGGTGTGACCTCCCCGTCCTTGCTGGCGACTCTCCGTATAGATGGGATCGTGAGATCGCTCGAAAGAGACCTTGGGAGCAAGCGGAACTCTGGGGGCCGCTTGTGTTTAGACGTGCCTAGAGCGGCGCTCTCGTCCAAAGCTTTTTCTCCGAGTGAGCGCGGCATGGCCAGAGCGTTGGCGTGCAACGCCATCTGGGCCCCAGACCGCGCTCTGGCGTGCGGCTACCAGGTCAGCCCTAAGTGTGTCCATTGTGGTGCGCCCGGCTCTTTGCACCACCGCCTGTGCGTCTGCCCTCGCGCGGTCGATCAGAGAGCTTGCATCGCTGCGGATTGGATCATTGCCGCCGCTTTGGGCATTAAGGCGGACGATTACCAGGACCTTTTATTCTGCTTTGGGGCTTTCGCCCATCCCGCCGACCGCTTGTCCAGGCCGCGCCGTGCCTCGAAGGCAAAGTGGTGTTCCGTTGGCACTGCGATTCTGTGGGGAGTCCCAAGGGTCCCGAGTCCCCCCAGGAGGGTTCCGTCTGGGGCTCGCTTTTTTCCTCGACGGGTCTTGTCGCAGGCACATAATTCGTGAGCTCAGCCGCGCCTCGTGGGCCATCGCGATGCGCGATGACCAGGGGCTGCTTTTAGGGGAAGTCGTGGGGCCTGTTTAGGCCCAGTACCCGCAGACGGCGCAGGCTGGTGAATATCTAGCTCGCGGGATGGTTGGTAATATGGTCAAATATCCCTACACTCTGTACTCTGATTGCTTGAATGTGGTCAGGCATTCCAACCTCCCGTCTGGTGATAGACTTTCGGGGAAGCGCATGTACAGTGGTGTTACTTCGGAAGCGAACGCCCGCGGGGGCAATCGAACTTCTGTTGTGAAGGTGGCCGCTCACAAAGGTCTCGATGAGCCGGGCATCAACACGTTTGAGAGGTTCTGTCGCAAGTGCAATAACGATGCTGACGCTGCCGCCAAAGCTGTTTTTTCTTTTCATGCTTCTGACACTGATGGCCTTGCTGATGTCGATAAGCAGGTTGACATCGCAAAGGCAGTGTGCAAGCTCGCTTCTAAAATGCTTCTGGAGTGGCCTAGGCTCGACCTGTCGGAGGCTGAATGCCGCCCGCC